GATGATATGAGGGCTGGAGCACCTCTCCTAAGGGGACAGGCTGAGAAAGTTGGGGTTGTTCAGCCTGGAAAAGAGAAGGTTCTGGGGAGCCCTTCTAGCAGCCTTCCAGTTCCTGAAGGGGCTACAGGAAGGCTGGGGAGGGACTTTTTACAAGGGCAGTTAATGACAGAACAAGGGGAAATGGCTTTAAACTGAAAGAGGGGAGGTTTAGATTAGATATTAGGAAGAAATTCTCCACTGTGAGGGTGGTCAGACACTGGAACAGGTTGCCCAGAGAAGCTGTGGATGCCCCCTCCCTGGAAGTGTTCAAGGCCAGGCTGGATGAGGCTTTGAGCAACCTGGTCTAGTGGAAGGTGTCCCTGCTGATGGCAGGGGGGTTGGAACTGGATGATCTTTAAGGTTCCTTCAACCCAGTCTATGATTCTATGAGTACCTATACCTCTAGAAAGAGAAGGCATTTTGCTCAGTCTCAAAGACTAATTCAGAATCGCCTTTTCCCAAGTTTCAATCACAAAGGGAAAAAAATATAACACAACAAAAAAGAAATCTCATGAGACTGCAAAAATTACCTAGGAAGAAGAAAAAAATGTAACTAATTCAAACTCCAGCTAAAATTCTGGCCACATATCAATAAGTGACAAAACAGATTCATTCCAAAGAAATCCAGATTTCATTCCATGAACAATTAAAATTCTCAGCAAAGCAGCTAAAACCCATCTGTTTTTTCAAGCTAGTTTTCAGTTTTTATTCCATAATCTTATATCCTTGTAATTACACTGATGTTCACTCAAAAGCCAAAAATTGGCTTTATTTACTGCATTAAAGATTAATGTAGCACAAACCTTCATACTGTTACTAGAGCCTACAGTACAAAAGGGCTCAGAGGACTTGATCTCTTTTGTCTTTTTCCTAAGATAGGGTCTGGATATGACCTGAGAAAACACTCATAGATGTTTCCTGTCTAAACCTATTTGCCCAAATGAAATTGCTTTAGAAGGAAAAAAAAAAAAAAAAATTACTGGAATACTTTCAGTTTGAATTTTTACTTCTTACAGACTCTTATGCACTAAAATATCATAGTGTCTTTAAAAAAAGCACATTATCTCAGAACACTCCCCATAGTAACAACGGCATTATCTATCCTATTCTTAATGTAAATAAGAACTTTAACTTTCAAAAAAAAAATTCAAAGCTTCACTCTTACATTTCTCAAGTGTCTACTTAATACAGTGGACAGGAGAAATCAAAACAGCTCAAACCTTGCTACAGCAAAAGAATCAGTTCGTTATCAGTTAAGCAAAGGGGCAATGAGACTCCAGTTAGGACACATGGTTTAGGCTACAGGGCTTGTATGTACATTGAACAGTATTTCCAGACAAAAATTAATGAAAACAAAAAGCGTAGCAAGGTTGATACACTTGACTGTAGTCCAAGTTCTCATTCCAAGAAATAAGGCGGGGGGGGGAAGAATGTTTCCTGCACTCTGAAGTAAAATTACTTCATTCCTAAGCAGCTACTTCAAATATCATTGTGGAAATCAGACATTCAGCCCTTCAGATGTGCAACTATCAGACTTCTACTGAGGGAATGCTAACCCTCTCAGCTACTAACTGAATAGGCACAAACATGGAAAATACTAATACAATCTCTCCCTCCAATGAAACAGAATTCATCTACAGAAATTAAGAAATCTTAAAAGTCTTGGTTTCAGCTTGTCTCTGTAAATTTTTTTCTTTAAAAAAAGACAGTTACATTACAATCAGGAGCATAATTCAAACCTAGACACAGTAAGCGTTAGATCCACATTAAGGTTTATTGGAAGTTTTTTCCTTTCTTTTTGTAATCTAGCTCTTAATTTTTCTTGCAAGGCTTTTTTGTTTTTAAATAATTGTAATCTAAGCTTCATTTATAACTACTCACTCAGAAGCAGTGAAATGAAGAGATATTTTAACTATAACCCTTAACTTGGTCCCTGACCTAGATCTAGCTAGCAACAGAATTGATGAAAGCCTGTATTAAAAAAAACAAAATGTACCTCCCATTGTTGAGCACCTTTCTGCCATGAAACAGCAAAGCATCTAGGTATTACAGCAGGAAACACACAACATGAGCAAACAGTACAGCTGAAAGTTAAACGAGAATACATATAGGCAAAGATTGTCTATGTTGCTAATTTACAGAGCCATCACTACTGCTCTGCTAAGCACCAGTCTTCTCACACAGAACTGAGCAGAAATAGCACTGCTGATTTGGTGTTTAACAGTAAAGATCTATTGTTGAAAGGAGTACAAAGAATACCAATGAAATTAATGCTTAAAGACTTGAAGGGAGTTCATTTCTTAGAATGTTAATTAATTGACTTGTTACCTTCAAAACTGGAAATGAAACAAAAGTAGGGATAGTGGAATAAATTCTTTCCTGTTATATAATGAGAGAATAAAAACATTTGCACCCTGACAAGGTCTCAAAAAAAAAAAAAAAGTCCGACTTACCTGTAAATCCCCCAGCATTGTCTTATGAGAGGTTATTTCGATTTGTCTAAGTTTTAAACCTCCAACAAGTGGATTGCACATTTTCACCATAGCTGTTGGCTCAGTTAGTGAAGAACACAACGGTTGTCCTAGAAGAGGACAATTTCCTCCCACCCCCATGTCCTTTAAACCAAGCTTTACTGAGACTAGCAAAGATATCTGCTTTTTTCCTCCCACAGAAAGGAACAAAATGATTCAGTAGCCAGCAATCTCCTTCCATTGTCTCCCAATTCTGGTTGCCGATCCAGAAGCCTAAATTTAAATCCCCTCTGCAAAAGTTGCCTTTTCAAAGATGATCAAAACACTTCTAATCTACGACTACCCGGTAAGACCTACACTGCCATCAATAGAAAAGTTCAGGAAAAGCATTTAATATTAAGGTTTATATCAAGGATGATACAACTTAAAAGACTAACAAGAACATAATTCTTCAGAAATAATGAAAAACTGTATCAGAAATTCTTCTTCACCTTCAGATTAGAAACAATCAGTGTTTAATGTTTAGGCTAAAGACATCAAATATATCATGCTTTCTACCAAAAACAACAAGCACAGAGGTAAAATAAAAACAACACACCACTAAGAGGCAAGTCAACAAACATTTCACAGCTAAAACCTCCCCTCAAAAAGCAAGCTGACTGAAAACACATTTCAGCCTTGTAAAAATCAAAGTTGTATTATTGATATTTCTCTCATTTAAGATAAAAATTCACAGAACAGTAAGCACTGTAATTCTAGAATAGCATTAACAGGATAAAAATCAAAATGGGTGGAAAACACACACGACTTTCTACATTCAACAGTAAGTGTTACTTACAACCTCCTCTTTTCTCCACTTCCTCAAAACCTAGTAAGTTCATTCTTCCATTTTTAAGTCCTTCTAAAAGCTGTTTACTTTCAGTAAAGGAAGAAATTAACCAAAGTAGTGAACAAATATCAAAAGCTTCTAATATACCTCTGCTCCACAAGGTTTACAACAGTTTCTGTCAATCAGAACACTGATTATCAATCCACACACATGCACAAATTAATGCATAGAGGTCACATGTATCAAAAACCTTGATACATCATCCAAAAGCATGGGGAAGTAATGTCTTTCATTTGTTTGATAAATCAAATTGCATGTATCAAAAATATCTATATATAAAATTTACAAAGGATAAAGTTCAAAAAATTATTTTTTTTTCCTGGCATGGGCATGCATGTGTCTGAGGAAAAGGGTGTTTGTTTTTGCAGTGGTCTATATTAAACTCTTTCATCCCCTATAAACATCAATAAAACTACAAAGCTCATACTGGAAAAGTTTCAAACTTCTTTTCCAAGCTGGCCACAATTACCACAAAAACTATTTCTAACCTCTTAAGCACTATATCACAACATCATAATTTAAGACAAAGCAAACAATACCACAAGCAGCTGAAAACGGACCAGGAATTTGTATGTAGTTGCAGACAAAAATATAATCACACAGCTATACCAAATTTTCAGGAGATATCTCTACTGTTCTCCTCTTGGGCTAGAGCAGACAACCCTAACAAAATTACAAATCAAAGTCTGAATAGGTGCCACAAACCCTGTCCAAGTCCAAAACTGGTATCTACATTACTAAATTAGCAGTGATGACACAGTATCTAGCATACCCTAAACATATGAAGCATGACACATTGATTATACCAAATCCTTTTTGTTAGAAGTTCTGATTATTAGTGTCATGTTAATAAAATCTGCGTTGCTTTATTCAAAAGACTTCACAAAAATGAGTGGGAACAGTGAAAAGGGATGAAGGACAGACAGTATTTTCCTCAAGCCCACCAAAATCCCAAGGTTGGCTTCTCTGAACTCAGCTGCAGGATCACAGCACTGCAACAACTCTCCACCCATTCTTTAGATTGAATGTTTCCTGCAGATCAGTTATAAGTTTAGCAATAAGAAAAAGGTTGTCATGCACCTTGTGTATCACATTTGAGACATACAAAGAGTCCTGCTACAGTCAGGTATCTACCTTAAAGATTCTATGCTTGAACAAACTGAGAAATCAAAATAAAATCTAGTTCAAAAGGGTCCTACACATAAACAGTATAGAAACAACACAATGGAAGAAGTCAGACGGGCAATGGCTATTTTCTTGCTTCTTCACTCCCAGGTTTAGAGATTAGTAGAAGTTTAACATATCGTTTGCAGAAATTAATTCCTTTATTCCTTGTGAGCACTACCATGAGATTGCATAGGAAGGACTTGTTCTGCCCTAACTTGAGAATAATGAAAAAAAAAAAGTATGCAAACAGCCTCGTCAAGGTCACCTCTCCAGAAACAGGAGCTCCTAAACAACCAGTTTCAAAAAGCCATCAACTACTGACAAAAAAGGAAATAATTATCAAGTAAAAAATACATTAATTCTGTTTTTAAAATATACTTAATGAGCAATAAACTCACTCTATAATTATGCAAGTTATGCATATAAATACATACTATGCTGTTCATTTCTGAAGATTCATAACTTCCACACGGATGGACACTTCCAATAGGTTCCAACCCTTCTTCATCCCACATATATGTGCCATCAGAGCTGTCAGATGGAGAAAGCTCAAAAGAAGACCCAGCTCTGTAATTCATCTCTGGAGAAATCACATTCTCGGAAGTATGCTTTGTGCTTTCACTGTTGTCATCCACTGCTTAAAGAAAACAGGAATAGTCAAGATTCCAAAAACAACCCAATATGCCAAAAATAAAAATTAAGATGTGTATTATTGGTGCATTAACTTTTTTGAAACTGTACTGTAACGGAAATATCTGAAAGCATTCTCCAGTATTGTTCACTCATGCTAGAGAGGAAAAAAGCTCAAGCTGGTTTGGGACCTACAACTAAGTATCCTTCCAAACTACATCTTTGCTAGCCTTTTATACTGCAATAATTCACTCACCATGAAAGTTACTTTCTAGAATTCTGTATCTTTTTAACATATTAAAAGGTGGGTCCAAAATCAGATCCATTGGATCCAATCTTTCAACTGTAACTTGTCTCAAAAAAGCATGTACTACAAGAAGCCCATCAGAGACTTGAAAACATGGCTTTTAAAAACATCTTCTGTCTCTTCCACTAATTTTTAATGAATTAATATAGCATGCCTCTGTAAAAACAAAAGAACAGTGACATTCATATTTATAATTTACCTGATTTAATTAGACACCCTACACTTATTCCTACTACTTAGGAGTGGTTACCACTGTTCTGTGCCACAGAGGCAGTGGGGGTTGGGGCGGGTTGTTGGGTAAAAATTTTCTTAAAAGATCAGCAGCCTAGAGAACTTCATGACAAAGCAAGGATATGAGGAATCCCACAACCCTACGACACGCGTGGTTAAAGGAGGTATCGTTCATTCCTAACCCAAAGAAAAAGAGTTCTTTAAAGTCATGCCTGGGCAAGACAACTATCATGCAGAAAAAGCACTCTAAGAAAATAAACAGGACAGCATAGAGCCAAGTTCCACTCTGAAACAATTCACAAGCAATGGGTAATTCTATAAAACAACTTTAGTTACAGTTACAGAATCTTGATTTAGTAGCTAAAATTTCAAACAGAACAAAGTATTTACCAGACATGTTTATATCAAGCCAGTCATCAGCATTACAGCAAGATCCTCCACTTTCCTTGAGAGAAGTGAACGGCTCGATGGACGTTATGCTCCCATGCTCTAACTCTTGAAGACAGGTTTCCTTTTGCTGTATTTGGATAGTTCTGTTTGGGTCTTCTATATCTATGAAATCATCACTGAAGTCTTCACTCAAATCATTTTTTTCAGAGGATGACAAAGAAGATATAGATATTTCATCTCCATCATCACTCATACACATGACTTTTGACCCATGTTTTCCCACACTTTCATGCAGACCTTCATCAGATTCTGTTCTTTGAGCATTGCTCTCTCTAATACTGTTTTTCTCAATTGCTCTATTAATATTTGTTGAAATTTCAGAGTTCTCCATGATGCATGTGTCAGGAGTTGTACTTTTGCTGCCATCCACAACGATATTTCCAGCAAATCGCTGCCTGGTAGGCTTCAGCAGAGAAGGACGACTTAATCTGTATCCAAAAGAAGGTGCTGACCCAGATCCATTTGACAGTGGGGGCTTCTTTGAAGAAGGAGCTGACATACCAGAGTAGGGCCTGGTAAATCCATACTTCATCGGTTCATTTCCATTGGGTACATCCAACTGACGTGCATTTCTAGACAACAAAGTCGACCTCTGAGATGTCCTGGCAGCTACATTTTGACTATAAGGCCTTGTAAGATCCACAGCTTTATTAAAGGAATGTGACCTGGTTAAAGACGCAGTGGGAAGGAAAGAACTCTGAATGGAATGTGAAAAACTTTGTGATCTTACCATTTTTTCACAGGAAAAAGCCTTGCTACTGTCTGCAGATTGTGCCAAGCTTTCTCCTGAACTTGTCCTTGTGGCACTGGAATTAGCTCTAGGTCTCTGCAAACCTACCACTGGCCTATTTCCATAAAATCCATTTAAATGTGACTTTGGAGCACTGAGTCCAGAATATGAGGTCCTTCCTGACAGGGTACCTTTGGCAAATTTTGCTGAACTAGGGAGTCCAGGAAAAGACTTTGGGTTTAATTCCTCAGTCGAAGATACAAACATATTGGTTTGCTTTGCTGCTTTTGATGCAACTGAAGTAGTGCTGTTCAAACCCACCCTGAGCACATCATTACCCAGTGCTCCTTGAGATTGAGAAGAGTTCTCAGAATCAATTAATTTTTCATTAGAGTTATGTTTAGAGTTGGTCTCTCTCCCATTTTGATCATTAAGTTGATATTTATTTGATTTTTTCCAGTTGAAAGCAAAGGAAGACATGCGAACGGTGCCATTGTGCTTGCCAAAATTTTTGCCATCATTACTCCCTGCTAAGCTAACAGCCGTCCCATTTGTCACAGGTTGCAAGACACTTCCTAAATTTTTCGTTCCGTATTTTGGTAACCTGGAAACCAACGATGTCCTGATTTGATTTTTTTCTTCCATGAGCTATTGGGTACATTGGTCCTTATAGGGTGCTTGAATCTAAGGAAAAGAAAGAATATATTAGATATGCATCAACCACACATTAATCAACATAATTGCATCTATGTTTATTACATTCCTGTGCCTAACTATATCATGATAATGCAAAGTAACTCACACAAATTTTGTGAGCTCCACAGAAATACCTGTCACCAGCAGTTATTTGGCAGTAATATGTTATTCAGGTCACACCTCATTCCCCCAGTTTTAATCCTCTAGATAAACTCTTCTGGGTTTGTTGTCTGTTTTGGGTTTGTTTTTGTTTTTTTCTTTCTTTCTTTCTTTTGTAATCTATAAAATAAGCTTAAAAAAGGCCTGAGGATTTTTCCACTTACTTATTTTGAGCAGCAAACTGAATTTTTCAACTGAATTACAATTATTAAATTACATCCCTAAGACTTTATATTTTAAAAAAATCCCAGTAATTGAACACAGCACAAGCCTGTGGTCAGCAGTGTAAAACTGCAAAAACTATAATGTAAAATCTGACTAAAAGCTTTTTTTTTTTTTAGTTTCCCCCACGTCTGTGTTATGAGATACAAAATAATGAATCATCATCCACCTTCACCACAGCATTTTTTTTTCCCCAGACCTTATTGATATCCCCAACTCAGGATTAAAGTTCCTAGCTGGTTTTTTTCCTCTGTACTGAAACTGTAGTCTATCTTTGTCATCGTCTTATTCACGTACAAAATTTGAGGTACAGGACAACAGTTGCATTAGGTCACTGTTAGTAAGTGAATTCAAAAGTTTTACTTCTGTGCAGCAATACATGAACATATAATCCTAGCTACAAAAGTATGAGATAAAAAGATTATTATAGCATTCATGCATTCCCTTGTATCGTGAATTTTGGCCTCCTTCACCTGATTTGCAGTAAAGGTGACTCCACTACAGTCTTTAATAAAGATTCATTGTATCTCAACGTATAGTCATGTCATTGTGGTCTATTTTATATTACACATTTTATAAAGCCATATCTGATTTACAAACATACTTTTGCCTCAAAAATTTCTGCCTTGAGAATTCTGATCTCCTTGCTTTGATATACAGCTTTTTGTTTCTTTCACACTCATCCACCTTTTGTACAGCATTTAGTCTGTTGTTTTTCCTGGCTACACAACATGAACAACATGTCTAAATGCTATTATTAAAGACTTGCAGTTCAGACAATGAGGCCTTGAGAAGTCTCCAAGTTTCAGTGTTGCATCTTATGACAAAGTTTACTCTAGTATTAAATTCTGTATTTGCAAGACAAAGTTTCTGGGGTTTTTTCAAGACAGTCGTAAAATGATATCTTGCTTTTGCTAGTCTGAATTTTACACTTCTGTCAGTTCTACCTGCTGGTCTTACAACGGCATCAAGACACAGAATTTCTGTTGTTCATATGTTATTCCCTGAAACTATTATCTGTGTTTCTCTTTACACAGACCTACACATAGCTGGCAGCACTGAAAAAACACATGGAAACTTTTAAACCACGTCAATCATGATGAGAATCAATACACAGCAAGTAATATTATACTTATTCAAGATACAGGAAATATCCTGTATTACCTTAAAGTGAGCCACTCCCCAAGTTGCAAGACCTCACTAAGAAACACAAGATAAAATCAAAGCAGCATTAAATACACACAAACTAAAGTACCCATAGGATTTTGTAAATTAATAGGATGCCCCAGAGCTGTACTTCTGGAAGCAGATCTACATTAAAAAGATACAAAGAGAAATGTAATCAGAGACATGGTTTTTTAGGGGCTCTTAACCTAGTGAAAATAACAGAATCCACATCCTACAAATGTTAGAGTGCACTTCTATTTAGAAACACACAAATCCAGAGTTTTCAAGTATAAAGTGAATTCTGGGACACTAGGGATATAGCCCTCGCCTAGGTGTACAAAGCAGGACGCAGTATCTCTCCCCAGCAACAGCAAAGCATTTAACTTGTTATGCATAATGCATGCCTGTATGTGGATTTAAGTGTCTAATGTTAGACTTATCTCAAAAACACTATGACCAACATCATCTACTAAGAAAAGCATTCACAGCATCTCATTTATGTATCTGTACCCATAAAAAAACTTGCCTACAGTGTACCTGTACACGTTGCAAATGAAAAAATCAACATGCTTTAATATCAAATATCAACCTCAAAGATAATTACTTTATGCCAAAAATACACAGTAAAGGCAATAAAATACTTTAAGAAAAACTCCATGCATAGAAAATGGGTCTTTAACATCACGATGCATTAATTGACAGCAAGCATCACACTGCAGATCCATCAAAAGATATCCCAACTTGAACAATGAAGCTCAAGTCTCGTAAAGAAATCTTCCAAATTAAAAAAGTTAAATTAGAAAGCTGCTAATTTAACTTTCATGCTTTATGGCTAATTCCCTTTTCACATCTGTCTACCATCTCTTAGGTGACTGCAAAATTTAAATGAGGCCATTTAATGAGATTACTTTAATCCTCCACCAAGTGCTGCAAATTAAACTTGAAAAGAAGGCCTTTTGGTTCTCTAGGAAGGGTGCTTGCTCATTTACCCTTAATTATGGAAAGATAATATTTTATCTTTAAGAAAACTGTACCAATTGCTTAAAACAGTTCAGATAATTAAATTAAAAGACTGCCTACAAGCGATACTTGCATGTGTTTTGTTAGCTACATAACTACCGTGTTACATTTTCAATTTAAGGTTGCATTTGTCTGCTTGAAATACAATGCTGTCAAAAAAAAACCCCAAAAAATCTTAAGTGTTTGGCAGATGTTACTTTACTTTTCCCAGAAAATGGAAAATTTTCTCATGAAGTTCTCTTAAATCTTGACATATATTTACTATTAGAAACTACCTTAAAAATGAAATTCCTTTAGTACTTTTAAGTTATAGTATGATTTCTGCATCACATGAAACTCAGACTCAATATAATTTAGGTCATAATCCGCTGTGTTATAAAGAAATTCAAAGTATTTTTAGACTTCTGCAATCTATGGATTTTTTTTAAAACAGACATTTGGGCAAACTAGCCTTGTATGCTTTGCCTTGGGAAATACTTTATCTAGTGCACACAAGCCTAATCGGGAATTAAGCTAATTATAAAGAGCCTAGTCTTACATAATGATCCAGGGAAAAGGAATTAAAACTTACAAACCCTCTCTGAAGTATAATCTGAATTAACTGAAAAGCTGCTACATCCTTACCTTCAAGGATATTCAAGATCCTGGTGATAAGGAAAAGGATATTCATTCTCACTTTCCTTTGTGCTTTCTGTATAGGATTATTTACACCTTGACAAGATCCTCCAATGTTACTTTCAACTACTAAACACAACATACACTTTTACTTCATTCACAGTCTGTTTCAGTAACACCAGAAGACAGTTTCTTCTATATTAGCTTCTCAGCAAAGTTTGGGTACCCATACCTAAGACTCCACCTTACATGTTGTGGAATGATTATTACAGCAGAAGACAGTTTAAGGCTCATACATTTCAATGTTTGGGCACCTTCAAAATATTGCGATCCCTACGATCCACACCATCAGAGCTAACAGGATTTTCAAGTTCCAAACAGATTACTATGAGTGGGACCAAATTCTCCTCCTATTGCCACAGCAGCGTGGGAAAAACAGCTGCCAGATGAAACATATCTGACAGACTGGTGACAGACCAGAGCAATTCTGCAGAACTATTGCTATGCCAACAGTTCCAGATGTATGTTTCTTTTTTCTTCTCAATTTTAAGACCACCTACATAAGAAACAGAAATACTGAGTAGCTAACTTTCAGAACAACTTCCTTCCCAGTGTGAAGAATTTTTTTCTTGAGGTAGAGATAAACCTAAGTTTGTGTAACAGGAGTGTGCTGGAAAACCAAGACAGTCAGCACCTTCTCACTGCTTCTGTATAACAAAAATGGTACTTTCCTGTAGGTCTGCAAGAAGTTGGCAGCTACAGCAGTACACAAGCTCCCTTACCTACCCAGACACATTATGTCCGTCAGTGTCCATATATCAGCAAATGCCAATTATTCATCAGTCAATTTTTTTGGTATTTAGTGTGGGCAAACTGACAGAACACCTGCTATGAGGCTCTGTGAATTAATTATTCATATTTCTGCCATCATGTGCTGCATGTTACTGAAGTAAATGAAGTTTAATAACCACGTTTGCCAAGCCATTATATTATGGCATATACTATTATATGCCTTCTGTAGAAGACCTAAGAATTAAGATACTGTCTAATTCTACCTGTTTCTCAGTGGTAGGTGATCTGAAGCAGTAGTTTACCAATATTCATGCATATTTATATTACCAACTCTATAGTGCTAAAATTTCCAGGGACCTTTATTCTTTCTCCTAGAAAACAAAAGCATGTTTCTAGTATACAAACAGCATGGACAGAAAGGTGAGAAGATTCCTCCTAAAGTAACCTAAATTATCTCCTCTAGTGAAAAGCTTACTTGGCCACAGCATTACATTAGGGCAGAGGAAACAACTGTTAACTGCTGCCCAAGCAGTACAGAAAATGAGTGAAGCATATCCTTAGGAACTGAAGAGCAAACAGCAGGCAGTGAATGGGTGGCTTGAGGCAGGCACAATCTTACTACCTGAAGTAACAATTATAACCTGTTTTCTGCACCATACTTCTAAAAGGAGAGCCTTGCTGAAACCTGAGACACAGGACCAGCTCTTCAAGGTGCTATGGACATGCTTCAAGACAGCAGCTCCTAACTTCCCATGGATTTTCATCATAACTAAGATGCCGTCCACACACAAAAAAAAAGATACAAACTTGCCAGTTTGAAAAAAAACTGAAGTTTACTTTTAATTACCACCTGCTGAATCTAGATAGACCACAGGGCCTTTGTGAATTGAAGCGCACACGTATTTCAACTCTGTCCACTGTGTGTGGCTTATAAAAACAGCCTCTGTACAACTCGGACTTAGCACCACAGCCACTATTTATTTATTTATTGTTCTCTTGAGGACAT